GTGGGTGTTTGTTCCTGAATCCCAGATGATGAACTGTAAGGAGTCATTACTATAAAATGTGTTTTTAATGTGGTTGTTGTTTTATTAAGGCGTTATAGTTGGACATTTCAGATGGCCTCGAAATCACGTTGCAAGCTGTATGAGTTTTGCCAAAAATCAACTTTAATGAGGCGGTCACTATAACAAGAGTTGCTGTGGTGCAACTCTGCATTAATGTGATTTAGTAAGTACATATACAGTTTTGGATAGGGATGCACCGAATGTTCCACCACCGAAATGAATACGCCGAAAATAGAAATTTAATTTCAGCATTTTCGGTGTGTGGCCTAATAAGTCAAAAGACTAAATAAATTTTATCTGACATGTTGGTAGTGTGGAAACATTTTAAAGTGTCTAAGAAAGATGCAAAAATTGCCGTCTGCAGACGCTGTTCTGCTAAATTGTCTCCTAGCAGATCCACTCCATCTGTTGTGGACTTCTTAGAAAAGGCAACAAACGACCTGACCCACAGTGTTTCTGTCACTCGTTTCTGAGAATTTGGAGTGCACACATATTCAAGCCTTTATGCTAAATCCACTGAAACAGACCAGTGTGAGCTGACAGGCAGGTTAGCGACTTTATCCTGTTTCTCTCTTTACAAAGACAAGTGTTGCAGTATGAGAGTCCTACCTGAAGAGAGGCTGTGAAGTTATTATGTTTTGCGCGATACGAGAACCCCATGCAACATTATTTATCAAATTGGGTTGGACGTGATGAATTTAGCGCGAGGATACACATGTGACAACGGTTTTCAAAATGTGTCTATACAGTATGGAAATAAGATTCATTGGATTATATTCACAGAAAGTATAAAACATATTACATGTGTACATGTAAAGTAAAAAAAAAAGTAAATGGACACATACTTTACCGGACCCTCTCAGGCCTCAGAACCACTCACCATAGTCTCTCCAAATCCTGTGGGAAATACAGAGTAAAAAGCACATTTTGACTACTTAATTTATGCAGTGGTAAAAAAAGCAAAATAAATGGGAAAAAATATGAACATCCTTGTTCAGTGTTGGGCAAATGTTTTCATTGTATTCGGTTTCGGCTTCAGCCAAGAATATTCATTTCGGTGCATCTCTAGTTTTGGACTGATATTCCATCAGGGTATCTGTCTGTTTGTCTCTCATCCTGCCCGTGTCGCTCTCTCTCCTCTCAGTGACTCTGTTGTCGCATCTACATTTCATTACCAAAGGCACTGACGGTAGGAATCTTTTATCAACGTATATATGTCATTTTACTTGCATTTTTGATATTCATTGCTCGATATAGTAGATTTTCTGGTAAACTCAATTTGAGAAACAGTACAAATAAAATGGGAATGTCTGGTTTTGGCCAATCCTGTGAATTGCATACCTGGCAAATCACATTCATCACATTGATGCCAAAATCCTGTAAACTCAATATTGCCATAAAACTGTCCTCATTGATTTGCAGCATTGCCTACAATGGCTTGGGATAGATTCCCCAGTATATATGTATTGACAAATTCTCTGACAAATTTCTATCATCAGATATAGAAACTTTTTGTAAATTATGTTAATGTAATCATAAAATATCAGTAAATTAATGTAGAATGCCAGTTTTCCAGTTAAAAATTACTTCTTTGCCTCATGACCAACCTTTTTATTTATCAGTGTTTTTAAAGAATCAATTTATAATTTTTAGACATACTAGATGTAGATGAGCAAAGAGTCTGAAAACAACAAAATCCTTATTTTTTGACTGAATATGATTGTTGCATGTTTTTAGACACTTATTTTATTTTCTCCTCATTGAATGTAATTTAGAACTTGCTCTGTTCTGAATGTCCTGTGCATCATCTATTTGAGCTTTCTTTGTGTTGTTTCCAGCTCTTTTTGCTTCACTTCCACTACCTCAGCTTAGATCCCGAAACATTACAATAGTTATTCTTAAAGATATTCTGTCCCACACTAATCACATTTCTGTGAAATTATGATGGAATTTATTTTGACATACGGTAGTTATGGAAATCTATCTGATATCAAAAAGACATATGAACATACAGTATTGCTCCGTCAGCATGTCACTGCCTCCTGAGGGGCAACATTTCCCACAAGGTTAAGCTACGGGGAGCAAGTATGGCTTAAAAATGGGGTCTTGGATAGCAGCAGCCTTAATGTCTGGGTTCATGGAAGACGGATGGATTTCCTGCGGCTGGCAGCTTGTGATGTGACCAAACTCTTAACGTCTGAGTTATGTTCTCAGTTCATCTGTTGAAGCTGCACAGAACTTGACTGTGTTTAGGTCTGGCCTGTTCCTATCTGCTGTTATTTCTTTGAGTCTCATACTGCAGGCATGTGTTTCTTAAACTGTGGGTGGCTTCCTTGTTTCTGGTAGGTCTCAACATGACAAGAATAGCTGTGTTTTCGTGAAACTCTGTCCCAGAGTGAGACAATAAATTTAACCATTGAGTTTCATGGTTGAAGAGGTTATCGCAAATAAGAAACCGCGGCATAACAAGATGTGGGGAAGAGGTAAGGGAGGAAAAGAGGAGAAGGATGGAGAGGGAAGCTCTAAATTACAGAAGCTAAGTGGTAAGGTGAAGTGAAGAGAACAGAAAAGAGGGGTGTGTTTTGGAAACTTGTTGAAGCCTGTGGGGGCCTCTAGCCAAATACAACAGTCCGGTCTGGTCACGCACTGATAGGCGGTCATAGGAAACACATAACTTCTTTCGCTATAGGCAGAAGTCTATGCTGTGTGTGTGTGTGTGTGTGTGTGTGTGTGTGTGCATGCACGTGTGTTCATGTTATGTTGTATGTTATATTCATAAGTATGTCCAATCTAATCCATGTCCCATATCCAGCATGATAAGCCCTGGGCTAATGTATTTACATCCATCATAACATGTTCTCCATTACCTCATTTTGTGAGTGTGTAAGCTCATAATACCATCGATGGTCAGATGTAATTAGCAATATTCTTTCATTTTCTCTCTCTCGTCATACAATAAAACACACAGAGTAACTTCTTACTGTACAAGAGCTCATGCCAAACAAGCCTCGGGCTCCTCTGATAACCCTGTCGCTAACCATTAAGCTCTAATGTTGGAATCACACTAACACTAGTAATGCAGAGAGATCATTCACACACATACACAAAATTAAATTCATGGCACTGAGAATTCAGGGTTGCAAGTCGTTACTTGTTCATCTACATTGCAGAGATGTTCAATATGACCATGTTTAATAACATGAAATTTAAAAGTTTAAAAACAAAAATGTGAGACTGAGCATCTGGCAGATGTACCTCACTGAAGCCCAAAAATACATTTTGAAATACTTTGAGATTCAAGATTTTAGACTTGAAAAACTGGCTGTGTGGGACGTGCCTGTCATCTTGCAATCGCAGGCGCAGACCATGAAATCGCAACATCCCCGGGTTTGATTTCAACTGTGGACCTTTTGTTGCATGTCATCATCCTCAAACCTCATTTTTCCTGTCTGTGTCCTTTCTGTTGCCACCTGGGGGCACCGGAAGCAAGTGTCCTCACCTTTCAAGTTGAAACTGCGAACTTGTAAGCAATAGTTGCTTATTTACACATCCAGCATTTACAGAACAACAGTATCTTTCATAGGAGTCGTTTTTGTATCCACCTGATGAATGTCCATATTCCCTTTCCTTTTGCTCTGTTTTTGGTCTCCACCACCTCCTGAGGGAAATATCTGGCTATTTAGCTGCTAAATGCTCCATGTGTTCACCAGCTAGTGGGCAACTTTATTTGTCTGCTGTGTGGTGCTGATCACAGTGGGTTTTTAGAGCTTTTTCACTGAAAACAGCTGCCTGATGTGGCCCGGAAACACTAAGAGTGATGAGGTCAAAATTCTCTGAAGGTTGTTTTTACACATTTCACATTTCACACGTCATTTGATATCAATTATGTCAGTTATAGCCACATTAAAAAATGATGCAGTTAGTTAAAAGGAGTAAATCTACAATCTTGATTTTTAAATTGTGTTTTACAAATCAGAAATTAAAAAAGTGTTTGTGTACATGATAAATCAGTTTACTTCATCTTGATAGAATTTATTGACCCATAGCACCACTATGTATGTGTAAATAATACTAGCCTATGCACAAGTACACACAGAGTTCCTGTGACTCACATCTTGTCGTGTGTGTGTGTGCGTGCATGCTTTAGTGATGCCCTCTCTACTGGCTGTAATTGGCTGCAGACAGACACTGCTGTGTTCTGGCTTGTTATCAGACTGACAAGCAAACTGGAGAGGACAGCAGTGTCAGTCTGAAAAACATAGCGGACCTTGGAGGCAGGAAATACACAAAAACAGATATAAACACCACAAGCAAACACACACAGGAGCTCAGACACTTGCAAGTGCTGTGATACTAACAGGCTGCGACAGTGAGTGGAGCGTACCTGATGTATTACTCTTAGATAATGTAAAAGGAGATTGGTAGGTAGATAAAATTAGATAATGGATGCACACAGTCAGCTTAATATAGTGAATGGAAAAGGATAAGACAAGGTTGTTACATGGGAAAAGGTCAAGACAATGGTAATGGTTTTGTATGTTGAGCAGCAGAACAATTTTTCTTCAAACACTAAAATGTTGCAATAGAAATGAAAGTCTGACATCAGTGATTTTGGAAATCTAAAATACTGGTCCCATTCCAGCTCACTGAGTCATTCACTTCTTGAAAAAAGCTGTAATATGTTTTTACCTCAGGCACTGAGAGGTAGGGAGAGACAGTAAAGGCATCGTGGTGAGCGAGGGGATGGCATGCAGCAAAAGGCCTTGATATGTGGTACGCACTCTACCAGGGCGTCCTACTTGAGAGGTTTTTCATAAAAGTGAATCAGCCTTTGAATCATTTTGTTTTCTTTAATGTTGAGGTGACAGATTGTCTTTGTGGAAGCTCAGTGACAATCTTTGCAGAATTAACAAATCTTTTTCTTTCCTTCTTCTGTCTAGACGTGGGACCTTGCTGAGGTGTTCCCAGTGCAAGATGGCTCGCTACTGCAATGTCACTTGCCAGGTAGTGTGTGTGGCTGTGGGTGTGGGTGTGTGTGGGTGACACTTTTTTGATATCCCCTTTTCCTGCAGAGACAAGCATGGCCTGGCCATAAGAGAGAGTGTAAATGTCTGCAACGCCTTCTACCCAGAATTCCCACTGACTCAGTCCGTCTGGCTGCGAAGCTCATCTTTGCCTTGGTATGTTTCTAGAGTTTCTCACTGTTAGACTCTCAAAATAACATGCACAAAGAAATTTACCATAAAAATGGCTATTTGTACCTTGGTTTTTCAGGATCCATATGTTTACTTCCACTAAAAAATTAAATGCACCTCAGCTGGTTTAGGAAAATGCCACTTTCCCTTGCGCTCAGGAAAGCTGTTGAAAAATACAGTTGTAAAAATTTATTGTCATCAAGAACTGCTTTTCTACTTCCTTTTGAAGGGCTTTATCCAACAGCAAAAATATGCTTCAGGAAGTGCCACATATAATGTGGAACAATAGCTAAAAAATAATTCTGTACATTCTGTACTATAATGTACTATCTTCTTTTTCCTTCTAGTTAAGTCCTTCTAAGAGCAGTAGTGAGGAGCTCTACACTTTGGAGGAGCATGAATCACGTAAGTCTTTCCTCCAGGAGAGTGTGTGCGTTTTGCCTGAGTCTAATGCCAGTGCAGTAAAAACAAAAAAGGCTTGCTCTTTCCACCATATTTAAGCTCTCTTGGGAACATAAAGAGATGAGTGTATTTCTGTCTGTCAGTGTCAAAGCTAAAGCTGTTTCCAGACATTGTCAGAAGCTCACAGGGACAGACGGCTGGTTTTTCTTTTTACAGACCTGAGTTCCATGTCTGAGCAGAAGAAACAAGGTCTCTCTCAGCTGGCATCCATGTTAGAGCTGTACTTACAACAGGAAGTACCTGACCTAGCACAGGAAATGACATCTGCACTTCCACCTTCCTGCCAAGAACCCCTCAGCCTTATTGCAAAGGTGGGCTAAATGGATTTAAACACATTATAAGTATATGCATGTTTGCTTTTGATATAGTACATAACAAAGGTGTCATTTACACTTGGGACACTGGGGACATGTCCCCACCACTTGTTGAAATGGCTTATTTTCTCCCCACCACTTTTTTAATGCATAATTTGTTAAAAAACAAATGTGCCTTATCCAATAAAAGGAACTCAAGCTAAAAAAAACAAGCTACTGATTATAAAATGACCCAAAAACATGAACTTCAACAACTTCTTGACACAGTTTCTTTTTGGCCAAGTTTTCTGTTCTCTTCCTGTGAACATGACAAAAGAGAAGGGAAGACTAAATCATGCCTACATGTGTGTTGCCTCAGCAGGGATGATATTAGATGAGAAATGTTGATAGAAACAGTTCTGAAACAAACACAGAATGATTGAGAGCTGCACTGACTTAGATTCTGTTATATTTAAATATTTTGAAGTGAATTGAATTTTGTGTTTTAAAGATCAATTTCCTGGGGGAGGTTCCCCCAGGCCCCCCACTCTTATATATCGGCATTGAGAATATCTTTAAAACACTGTTTAATGATCTTTTTGTCTCGTTCTCTTGAACCTAATAACATGATGTCTCACAAGCAAAGTGTCTCTTCACATCCCTAATGTGAGCCCCTATGTCCCCACCACTTTTCAACACAAAGTGACGTCCTTGGTACATAGACACAAACACCTTGGCACACTCATGCACACAACAAATGAATACACACACACACAAGTACAAAAATGCCTACCCGTGCACAAAGAGACAGACAGACATAAGCAACTGTTTATTGCTTCTACATCCCCTGCTGCGTTTGGATGAACCCCAACATATGTCTTAAGATCTTCCCAGCATCTGTGATTAGGTCCCGTGTGTGTGTGTATTTATTCCCAGAACAACCTCAGGTCTTATTCTCTTAAAACACACCAGCTGCCTTCACTAGAATTCAAACCGCAAATCATTATGTGTGCAAAAGATGTGTTTGTCTGGATTTCCCTTTACCTGTGTTAGCTTGAGTGACTCCTCTTTGTGATTTCGTCGCTCCAAGGTATTTGAATTCTAACGTTTGTGTGTGTGCGTGTGCATTGTGTTTGTCCCATCACAATGATTGTATGTGTGAGTATTAATTGAAAGCAGCCACGCGAATGAGTTAACAGTGTTTCCATAAAACAAACATGAAAGTTGCGAATGAGCCTCGTAAACTACATTAAATGGATTTAAGCCTGACTGATAAATTGGTGTGCCGATATTATCGGCCGATATCAGCTTATTGCAGATAAATTGCTATTGGTGCACATAACAGCCATTAAATGACAATTAAAAAAGAAACGAAGAGACAGATCCTTCAATCATGTTACGAGTGTTGTTGTTGCATATTTTGTCCACCAGAGGACACTGTGACATAATCGGCTGGTCTTATTCAAAGAACTATTAATAACAATACAAAAACGTGCATTATACTATGTTAACTTGGTCTCAACTACACATAACAAATGTTAGGGATAATCTTTGTTTGTGTATAGACTACAGACTTATACAGAGTAAAGTATCTTGATGAATTATAAATGTAAAGCATTGACGTGATATTTTGTACTGACATTCATGTTCCCCACAAGATAAAGTTTAATAACATCCCCTGATTTGTCAACTACCATCGTCATCAAGTCAAAATGTCACTTTGTCTAATACTTTGTTTATGATCAAACACCTGCAAAATAATGACATCACTGGATATTAGTGTGCTAAACATCAACATGTTAACATTTTCAATTTACAATGAACATTTCAGCCTCACAGAGCTGCTGGCGTGGTAGTAGACTCATAGTTGTTTCCTTTCTTTTACGTGACAGCAGAATATCTGCAGTGCATGTTCTGTAGACTTTCACACACACACACACACACACACACACACACACACACACACACACACACACACACACACACACACACACACACAGGTAGAATGACAGCGTAACATTTTCGATGAGGTGTGTGTGTGGGATTGGATTGTGTACCTGGAAAAACTGGAAAACTGCTGATTAAATGCTGTTCAAGATTCTGAAGGGAGTTGTGCTTCAATCTGAGGGAGATGAAGAGCGAACAACACTAAGTGGATTAAAGAGAAGAATAAAAGACGGAGAGCGTGTGAGGGGAAAACTGTGAGGGTAACAAAGAGAGATGATGGTGGGGGAAGAGACAAGGAAGTCATAACTTGAAATGTAAACAGAAATTGGAGGACTACACACCTTTAGCTGAAAATAAATTTGTCAGAGCATTTATGAATTGTCACTGGATGATGGATGTTAAAAACAAGGGAATGAGATTTTAATATTAAGCAGGTAGTATGACAGAATGTCTGCAGTGTTTTAACTATAGCTGTATAAGGCAAACATCAAGCAAGTGCAACAACACAATACATACCAAGCCAGCTTCTATGTTGTTACTTACTAGTCCAATAGCAAGCAGGCAAGTTCAGCAACAAGTAAAAGCCAGTCCGATATTTACTCTTGTCCGGCCTCTTTCTCGTCACTCTCTTTTTCTCTTCCTCCGACGTTTTCTTCTGTCTTTTTGCAGTCTCTGCCATGACATCCATACTGAGAATACCGAGCTAGCTTCATCCAAAGAACTTACATTTTACATCATATACTTTTTGCTTCTACTTCTACTAGCTTGCTTCCTGAAGAGTCGTGTTGGCACTGTAAAGCAGTACGCCATTATCGTGAAATGCTGTTTGTGCCTCGGATTCCAATGTTACATAGTGCCAATAACCAACGCCCTGGCGTGGAGTGGCACTGACAGAGATGCCATTAACCCTGTTACGTACCATCTAAATGATTATGAAGCTGTTATTTTAAGATAAAAATACTATATAATGATGCTTTAAATTTAAAAGAAGTCGGTGTTGGTTTCACACAGGAAACAAACAGCAGTCTGCTGGGTGAAGGTTTAACCCATCCCACCACCCCGACCACTGTACTGCGTCACCTAGATTGACGACACATACAAACTTTACATTTACATTTACTCATTTGGCAGACACTTTTATCCAAAGCGACTTACATTTGAGGAACAACATACAAGCATCAACAGAGCATCAAATACAGATCTACAACTGACAATACTGACAATACTTTACCTTTTAAAATCGAAATATATGCTCCAGATGACAACTGATAATGGCCATTTAATTGGCTGACGGCATTCGATCCCACTGGAATAACACATCTCTTTGAGCCTTCAAGGCACTGAATAGAAGGTATACACTCACCGGCCACTGTATAAGGTGCACCTTGCGAGTACTGGGTTGGCCTACTGGGTTGGTAGCATACTTTCAACAAGGTGTTAAACATTCCAACATCGGGTGCATGCACGTGCGGCGGAAGCACTCGTCTTATGTGCATGTGCTTTGGCACAGACTTCACTCGGTAAAAAAAATTGATAGACTATTAACTTACGTTAAGTTGCGGTGGATATTTTACACACGGCACAGGTAAAGCAACAGTGAAAAATCCGTGTATGGTTCGTTCTTTCATTATTTTGTTTCAAAAACAAATCGGAAAAAACAAAAAACCAAGTCGTTTTTTGGTTTTTCAGTTTTAAAACAAAAACAAAAAACAGACAATCGGTCTTTGTTTTTCTATTTTTAAAAACAAAACGGAAAAATATTGATTTTGATTTTTAATGTGTCCGATTAGTGAAGCTCTGTGTGTTACACTTAACAAACCTTAAACTTAATAAACCTGCAGCAGATACACTTGGGCGAGGGCGGTGCCTGATGAAATGTAATTAAGATGAGCTTGAACATCAACATAGATGGGTTCTCAAAAAGACAAGTTCTCAGTCTTTTAGGCGACTTTATAAAACATACTGCTGATGGAGAAAATGGAACAGACGGGGGGAGAGAGAGGTGGGGCAAGCCGGGGTGTCTTCCTGAGGTGTAGATGTGTGTGAGTATGTCAGAGTGTGGGGAGAAGAGAAATTCGAGGCAGGTGCAAAGCATACTTAAAAACAATAATAAGAATGTTCGTGGTCATTAAAACCTGCTTTCACAGGGTGGTATAATGTGAAAATTTGAGGGGTTTTTTTTTTTTTTGCTGGGGGTTTTACAGTCACGATGCCGGCTCCACATCGCGATGTCTGTCAGCCATCGCCGATGGACAATGGCATCGTCTATTGGCCCAACCCTACCATCTGAATGTCGCAGCTGAAATCGAGACTCATCAGACCACGCATTGTTTTTCCCAATCTTCTGTTGTCTAATTTTGGTGAGCCTGTGTGAATTCTCAGTTTCCTGTTCTTAGCTGAAAGGAGTGGCACTCAGTGTGGTCTTCTCTGTTGCTGTAGCCCATCTGCTTCAAGGTTCAACCTGTCGTGCCTTCAGAGATGGTAGTCTGCATACCTTGGTTGTAACGAGTGGTTATTTGGGTTACTGTTCCCATTCTGTCATCTCAAACCAGTCTGCCCATTCTCCTCTGACATCAAGAAGGCATTTTTGTCCACACAACTGCCGCTCATTGGATATTTTCTCTTTTTTGGACCATTAATCTGTAAACCCTAGAGATGGTTGTGTGTGAAAATCCCAGTAGATCAGCAGTTTCTGAAATACTCAGACCAGCCCGTCTGGCACCAGCAACCATGCCACGTTCAAAGTGACTTTAATCCCCATTCTTGCTCATTCTGAGTTTGAACTTCAGCAAGTTGTCTTCACCACATCTACATGCCTAAATGCATTGATTTGCTGTCATGTGATTGGCTGATTAGGTATAATTTCAGCGAAGTACCCAGTAGAGACCCCACTGGGGTGCAATTCTAGGTGCCTGGATCTTTAACAATCAGCAGGTTTAATCTTAAACTGCGGTGTATATCTGAGCTATGAATCCGTTCCCTCACTGGAAGCATCCATTATGTGAGTGCTGAACACCTTGATGAAGAAGCATAAATCTGCCTTCTTTTTGACCCATAAAGCACTGTCTTGT